AACATTCACTCTGATCTTCCTTCAGCGTCTGATGAAGAAACAGTTTCCCTGGAGAGTAAAGCAATAACCTGGGTTAGGAAAAAGCCGCTGAGAACCTTCCAGCACATAAAACAGGTGAGCTAACATCTGTGTTTGTGTCGAAGCTTTTGGAGAGCAGTGTGTGTGTTTTTGCTTATGTGCTGTTGACTTAAATTAGAACACCTGCACAGTGATTCTAAAGTTATTGGAATTCAGATTCAGGGGCGGCCTGGGCGCTCTGTGGTAGAGGCAAAATCAATATAAAGGTCAGGGGTTCGATCACAGGTACCGCTAATCACAGCTCAACGTGTCCTTGGGCAAGACCTTTGACCTGGAAGAGAGCCCGAACTGCCCCCGCTGGCTACACTCAAGAGGTGTGTGTGAATGTGACAACAGATGGGAGCCAAAACATATAGGTGCATGAATGTGGTGTGAAAGGGTGAATGTGAAATATGTGGAAGGGCGGTCAGAAGACTAGAGAGGCTCTACAAATCTAGTCCAGTGGAAGCTACTGTCCAACCAAGTCATTATTCATGAGAATAAAGTCATCACTTATGAAAATTAAGTCATTAGTTTAAGAGAATAAAGTAGTAAAGTTACCTTTTGTGGAGGAGAGTTGTTAAAATGAGGACTTTGGAGCATTTAGATGAATTGAATTTCGGTGTTGAGGCTTCTGCAGGTGTAGGTGTCTGACTTAGAGTAATCACAGGGTATTTTTTGTGCTCAGGAAACCTGCTTCAGTTCGGCGAGTAACAATCTTCAAAATCTACCCGGATGCAGCAATGCTACTTTTGATTGGCTGTTTGGCACATATACTTTATTTGAGTGGCTTGTGTGTAGCACGCAGGGGGAACTCACTTGATCCCCAACATGAGCATTCACAACAAACACACTGCAATCGTCTGAATTTATCATATTATATCAGAAAAGTAAACATGACTTGGTGCACAAGACTCGCCTTTTTATAATATGCAAAATAAGCTGCATCATATACGCATGTGCAGCCTGTATACTAGTTTAAAAGGCATAAATAGTTAGTCTATTGCATTCTACATCAGTGCTCTCAAGTCTCACGCATTTGGCATGTGACACACGCATTACCACCCGTTCACACGCATACATGCTATACGTTGTATTTCTTTTTTATTTTATTTTCTTTTTTATTTTTTATTTAATTTAAAAACAAAACAGAGTGACAAAAAAATAAATAAATAAAAATATTTTGTGAGGGAGGGGAGGGGGAAAGAGTATATATAATAGAGAATAAAAAAAATCTTAATAAGATTACATTGAAATATATATAATAATAACTATATATATGTATGTATATTATATATATATATATATATGTATATGTATATACATATATAGACATACATATACATATATATATATACACATACACACACATACAACTCCCCCAAATCACCGCCACAACAGCAACGATACAACAACCACAACAGCATCAATAATAACAACAATAGCAATACCGGCAATAATAATGACAATACACGAATGACAATGACGACGACAACAATAATATCAGTAATAATGACCACGATGAGGATACAAAACAACAAAAATCACTACAATTTACAACACTGTAGTCCAGACCAGAGAAACAGTGGGACACCCTTGGGACACCCCTACACATTGTTTCACCTCTTAAACAATGGAACAGGTTGGAGACAGCAGTTATATTGCTGTTTGTTGTGCAGCACAGTGATTTCAATCAGCTGATGATGATGATGACGGAGTTTAGACAGACGAATTTGATGAACTGTGTTTTTCTTTTTATTGCATCTGCTCGGTCACCGCATGAAGTTTGCGTAGAAAATGTTGGATGAGTAAATCAATTAAATTTGCCTGGAGCTTTCTCAAATACAGCTGGAGAATGACCAACAAACCATTGCGGAGGAATCTCATTTTTCCACCTGTATTCACTTGACCACCCATGTATCCTTAGACGGAACAGAATACAGGACTACTGTGGTGAGGAACACGGTCTGCTTTTCATTTGAAATTACATTTCCTCGCCTAAAGCCGTATACACACATTAATCTCGCTCCTGGCTGAACCAATCACAGAGTTGGTTTTTCAAGAAGAATTAAGGGCAGTGGCATCATCAGAGTTGCAGGAATGGCTGAAAATGAGTAAAATGACTTTGTTCTGACCCGCTTGTACTTGAGGTTAATTGTGATGTGCTTAGAGAAGAGGGTTGGGTTTTGTTTGAGTCCAGAAGGAGCCGCAGATGAGAGTGAAGTACTTTTTGTACCGTGTAGACAGCGCTGCAATTTTCTTTCATCTTCATTTTTCACTCAGGAGGGAGGAGCCCTCTGTGTCCTTTGGTACAGAACACAACCACATTTAAATCCCTCCAAAATTTCCGAGAGGAGCACTTCACACTGTGTTCTGTTTTCTGATCATCTTGACAAATTGTGAGCATAGCTTCCTCCTGTGAAAGACAAGTATGTACGAGTAACTTTCAGTTCAGGAAAAATAACAACTCTGCGTATTGTGTATGACATCAACACGACTGGGCCTCCGGTTTCTGCAATGCAGTCCTGTCAACTTGACAACCATAAACAATGCTAACGTGTATTGTGGCTTATGAACAGTGATGTCTTTATAATTGGCTCATAGCTGTCTGTCCTGATTTACAAGTGTATCGAAGCTGCTTTCTCAGACCGTGAACATTGTAAACAATTGGACATTGTTGTTGCCCTCCAGCTTGCTCACAATAACTTTAGTTCAATCTCCTGACTGTGTGCCCACGTATGTGTTTCAGTGTCAGAGCAAAACGAAAGGCAGAAAATCAGAAGAATTCATTAATGGCAAAGCAAAGTGATTTATTTATTTTGTTGAATTGTAGGAGTAGGATTGAGTTGGTCTGCTGAAGTCAAGTATCTAATCCTTTGGGTTTCCTCACTATATTCATACAGGGTTTTATTTTTGTGAAGTAAACTGCTGTTGTCACAAGGAACGTTTTATTCTGCTAAATGTCTAACATTTAGAGAAACACTGCGATCCTTCACCAACAGCCTCTGTAAGTATTAGGAGGTGTTTGAGTGTTAGTGTAAGAGCGTTGGCTGTTAGAGGAGACTTTGGGTAACCGAATCCTGGATTTGGTCAATGCATCGATAAAAAGGATTGTTGATTAGATGATTTTCAGTCCAGTTTTCAAATTGTTGAACTTCATTTTAGCCCATTATGTCATGTGTTATGTCAAAGGATAAAGGCTGCCAGGTTAACATGGTGTATTTAAAGCATAACTCCATAGTAAATAGATATATTGAAGCTAATTTTTAACTGAACATTATCACTCATTTAGTGTGCTTCACTCTGGGGTCCTGTTCAGCTGGAACAGCTTTACTGAACAATTTCATTCTGCATCTTAAACATCAACTTTAAAAATTAGACACCGAACGACATACCCTGCTGTCCTGAATCTGGATTTATTTTAAAATTCAAACTGTATTAAGTGGGATCCTGTTATATTTATGGTTTAGTAATTTACCTCAAATATTCACTCACAACAGTAGGCGGCGCCACTTATCTGTAGAGCCGGTTTACCCCTCATGGCTGAGGTCAGCTGACAGTCACAGTTTATATTTTGCAATTTAAAAACAAACAGGATGACTGTTGATGTTTTAAAGAAGAGGTTGAAGACTCACCTTTTTAAACAGGCTTTTCACTTATAACCTTTTCTTGTTTCTCTTATTGTTACTGTTCATTTTAATCGAAGTTCTTCATGTTTATTTGATGTATTTATGTGAGACACTTTGAATTACATTCTTGTACGAAAAGTGCCATATAAAAAAGCTGAATTTTAATAGGAATATATAGTGGATAATTGCAGTGTATTTTAGACAAACAATTAAAACTTTCAATGACACAGATATACCATCAATATTATAGCAGTTTTGAAACAAATATACCGTTCAGCCCTGGTGAGGTGCTACAAGTATGACTTTATGTAAGTGATGTTCAATAATTTATCATTACTTTAATTTAAAATATTTTATTTTTATCTTAAAAAAGATCATGACTGAAAATAGTCTTTAAACAGGGAGGTTGTCCTGTAATCATTGGTGTATATTCAGGTAAATACGATATTTCCAATGCAGAAAAAGCTCTACAATTCTAGTTATTTCCACAGCAACTGAAAAACTCTCCAGCTTTCTTGAAAAGATCTTATTTGAGGTGTCTTACTCATGTTAAATCGAACATGACTGCTGATGTTGAAGTAACTATTCTGAATGAGATTGCACGACTCTCTGAGAAACCATACTGGGATTATCTGCGTGGAGCTGTCAGAATCTGATTCCCGTCGTCTTTCCATTTACCAATCTCTCATCATCACCGCTGCACCGTTCTGTCGAGTGTTTCTGTTTTCTTCCCTTTTTTAAGTTTTTTTGTTTTCAGCCACAGTTTCAACACGTTAGTCGACAATTTATAAATAAATGTATGTATGATTCATGTGATTGGATATGTTACTGAGATCAGGTCGAATCAAAGCTGTGCTGCTCGCAGTGGTTTGTTGTTTTCTAATAGCGTCAGTTTGAGCTGTGTTATCAATTATCCGTCTGTTTGTCTTTCTATCTGTCTGTTTCCATCCATCCATCCATCTCAATCGTCGACTCACCACACCCTATAGGTCTCTAGCTGTTAAAACCAATCCCTGGTGAGTCACATCCACCATGGCGTAAAGTAATAACACATAGACAATTCTCCTGACTCAGCACACACCCACTCAAGCATTGAAAAAAAAAAAGAGAGAGAGAGAAAGTTGAGCAGTGCAACAGATTAAAAAAAAAAATCCTGTGCCCAGTCCGAGAGGGGAAGTTTTCCATTTTATTTTTCATTTTCATTATCTGTCTGGAGAAAGTATAAATGCCAGGAGGATTAGAGAAATTACATGGGCTCTCGCCTCTCCTGGCCTGCTGCTTATCCTCCTCTCTGCTCATCTTTCTCTCTCTTCCTCACTCTGTCTTCTTTCCATCCGCCGCTCCTTTACCTACTCCGCCTTGCTCTCTCTCTCTCTCTTTCTGTTTACCCACCATCTTTCTCTCTCCAATGTCCTTCCCTTTCATCTTCTCCTGCATCAGTCTCTCAGTGTCAGCTGCTCTGTTGCCTTCTTCACTTCTCCCCCCTGTGACAGCCCCCTTATTTCTATTTCCCACCTCTGCCTCTATCTTTGTTTTCTTTAGCCATTCCACTGCTTCTCCTCTCCTTTTTTTTCTGTGAATGTTTCGCTCTCGCCATCCCGCTGGCACTCCCCATGCGGCTCTTGCCGGATCAGCATGACTGAGCCCGGCCCCCATGGGTCCTACTGGCTGGCCAGTTCTCAGTGAAAAGAAGTGTCTTAAGCAGGCACCCCTCCTAATCCTTAAGATCTATTACAGATAGGAGGGCTGACACAGGCGACAGAGATTAGAGGGGGCAGATACTGACTGTATTGATTGGCCTTCTCATCCCGAGGCCAGCCCAGCAGCTTGCTTGTGTAATAGCACATCGTAATGAAATTCAGCCAGTGCGTCAGAGCCAGCAGCTCTAAATGCATAAAGACCGGGCCGAGGTGAACTGGTGATTCTGTGGAGCCATGCGGAGAGGGCTGTGGATAGAGTGCCTGCTGGTGTGCCGTTTAAGTGGAGGTTAGCATCCCCGCTTCACCTCCCTAAATATGCGCTGGATCACTGTCGCCCACATTTGCTGAGAGGGAAAGCCACTCTCGATTTGGAACCCAAGGGGGATTTTTTTTATATAATGCCATGAACTTGTGTTTTACTGAGCCGTTTGTTAGGGATTTTTGTTTGGCAGCCACATTTTGGCGTGGTTACGGAGCCAAAAAAGAAAAACCAGCTGGACCACTTACTTTGCAGTCCGTTACTGGAGGTTACAGGCCAGATTCATTTTGTGCTTAGCTCAAATAAAAGATATGTGCCAGTTTTTTCCCAGTTTTTGGTCGATGTTTGAAGTCCGTGAGCCCATGGCTCATTTAGACTGGTACTTCTCTGTTGAGATGAGTATGAAACACTAATTAAACTGATGTTTCATTTAATAAATATTGATGAAGGTAAAGGTTAGACTTATTCAATTTGCAATTTAACCGCAGTCGTAAAATTTCCTCCGTACAAAAGAAGTGTAATAAGTTCAGTGCTTTAGCAGCAGTTAATTATAGATATGGCAGAGTTGAGAGTGCGAACGTGCTGTTCATTGCATACCATGAGCACTTATGTGACAAAGAGGTCTGAAAACGTGAAAACGAACAAACATGCTTCAATTATACATGGTGGGAAAATGACATCCTGTCAAGCTCACCTAGTTTGACGAAGTGCGATTAAAGCTCACTTTTCCGACCAACGTTATTTTCTTATTTTTCAAATCTTAAAGCCAACGGTGAGACTTGTAATCATAAACCCTTAATGAGTCTGAACTCAATAAAAAAGACAAGCAGATGTGATTCACTATCGTTGCGTTTTGCACATATGCTCTCCCTTTACTGGTATATATTGAGCGAAATCGGTGCTCATACAAGCTTAGAGTAACTGCACTGGGTGTTGTGGTGGTGGGAGAATGGAGAGACCAAGTAAACAAACTTGTGCCAGGAACTGTAGCTTACAAGCCATTGGCAGGCAGTGTTTTGTTAGCAGGGGGATTGGAGATTAAGGGCTAGCTTATGCCAGAAAAGTTTGAACAATGTGTTGTTTGAATATAATCAAAAACTGTTAATAGCTGTTGTAAGAGACCGACAAGATGTCCTCCAAATAAAACAACGGAAATGTGTCCGCATTGACCAACATGAAATGTTTAAGTATCTTCTCCTCCAACGCTCCAACGATTGGCAGAATAATAGTCACGAGCCTTCTCCAACTGTTATCACTTCTGCAGTTGTTTCTTGTGTGTTCATGCTTGTGTCTCTTTGATCCATCTTACTTCATCTCAAAACTCAGTTGAAGAATTAATATTTACCAGTATTTGCTTATTTGTAATAGGAATGCACTGATCCAATTTTTTTCACCTTCGATATGATACAGATATCTACAGTTTTATTTCGGATCCAATTCCGATACAGAAAAGGCGCACTGAATTACTTTTTGTTGTAACCTGAAGTTTTACCACTGCCCCTCGGAACGTTTACTGCACAGGTATTACAAGTGACTGTCTTCAGTGGCCTGATGTATTATGATAAAGTTCAAGATAGCAGACCCCTTTGCTCGCTCCAATTGGGCCCTCTGTCACAATACCCGATCTAGAATTTTCTTCAGTATCAGGACTGATACCGATATCAAATATTGGATTGGTACATCCCTTATTTGTCACGGTGTTTTCCAAAGTCAGTTTGTAAAGAACCTGAAGCAGAACCAGATCTGCTGGGACTGTGTTGGTCTTAGAAATTGGAGTGTATTAAAGCTGCATGATTTTGGCCAAGAGATAGAATTAAATTTTTTTTCTTTGAAAACTTGATTTTTGATTTTGATTTTTTGTACAGTGACAAATTCAACAAACTTCAGTTTAAAAATAAGTTTTTTTTATCATCTCTCTGAGCAAAAACACTAAAATCGATGTAGTGTGTATGCAAAGCCAGTTATTGGCGCTGTATCGCTGTTGTTTTGGCCAGACAGGCACAGACGCCATAAAAACTTGCGCTGTGTGTCACATGATTGTTTCGAAAGATGCAGATAGACATCAACACAGAGATGAAATGGTAGTCATTTCTGGCCTGGAGGCACCAGACATGATAGAGAGGAAAATCTTAAAATTGTCATAATTAAATAATCAAATTTCTATTTAAAATTGATTAATCATGCAGTCCTAGGATAAATAGGAACAAACTAACACAAAGCTGTTTTAATTTTGGTTGCTGGTTTTCATCTTTTTTAGTTTAACACCATACAGTGGACATTGCTCCCCAAATTATGAGAGCTGAGGTATTATTGAAGATATTTTTAAGAGTTAATATCCAACTTGGGTGTTATGCTGTGAAAGTCAAGCTGATTGTGTGAGCAAATATTTTTTAGCTGGTTGTTGAATGCAATACATATTGGGAATGCATGATATTATCAACATCATATTGGTGTTGGCAGATAAAACCTTAAAAAGTCAATTATCCGGATGAAGTTTTTGAAAAACAAAAAGCAGTCAGCAGTCCCAAAAACTCAACATCTCAGCTTTATTTGTGAATGTAACACACATGGAGGAATTTTATAGAACACAACGACGACAACATGGCTGCTGTAGTGTGAGTGAAGAGTTTATTCCCAAATATGGCTCAGTTTTATCAGGTGTTTGGAACTAGTTTGGTTTTATGGAGTCAGACCTCCAATAAACCACAGCATTTAGAGACATGTCTTTGTTACTGGAAGTTTTATTTTTAAGGAGAAAAACTCAAATCTATCTTTGCAAAAAAAAAAATCATAAATTTTATTTTCAGCCCGTATCGCCCAGACCTAGTTCAACATCCACTGAATACTCAGCCAAAACTCCCCTGAATATAAGAGATCTCTAGTTATCATGGAGCTGCAGCACAAATAAGTGTTTAAAGGGCAGGAATTTGACCCACCCATCCTGCCTCAGTGCTTTCTCTGCTCAGACTTTGTCTTTCCTTCTGCTGGTCTTCATCCATCTTCAAATCAGTTCTGAGAAAACTCCCTGGCAGCTCTTGGATCACACCACTCTCTTCACTGACCGTAAAGGTATTTTCAGGTAAAACTTGAAGCTGTTTGATCTGCTGCAGCGGAGCGCCGTAATTAACGCCGGAAAAGAAACGCATCCTTGTTATTTATATATTAAAAGAGACAATACCTTGAAAGTTTAAGTGGGTTGCTGTTAAAGTTTGTTTTTTACAGCGTATGATTTGATAATTAATTTGAGTTTGATTGATTGGCAGCCATGTTAGGAATCATGGTGGCATATTGAAGGACTTTGCTGGCATCGTCAACCGGGATAGATTTAATATGACAAGCTAGGCTTCTCAAGAGTTCAGGGAACATATTCAGAAACAAGACTTACGTCCACAGATCTGAAGCAGTAACTTTTATTGTAGCCCAAGGTCGTCTCGGGAATCCGAACATTCTGTTTATTTCAGCTCTCATTGTTGTCTTGTATGACATACTTGACCTGATATGTACTAATGGAAAATTCCCTCAGCAAACTACATGCAGAACTCTGACTAATACGATCAGCGTTTGATTCCATGACAGTGAAGCATGGTATATAAATGATGCACAAATCCACAGCGATACTCCACAAGCTCTTGATGTATCCCACATAATATCATCTGAGAGGTGAATCATAGTGCGCTTCTTTTATTTGGGAACTTACTCTTGCATTTGCCTTTTTCAGACAGGAAAGTGGAACAAAACTGACAGATCCCTAAGAGAACAAATACACATTCAAGATTGAAACGGCTCACAATTTTCAAGGCCTTCAGTCGGCCTTCTTTATTTGTCGGTCTTTCTCTCTTAGCAGTACAGTGCTGATACTTTTTTATTTGGCTGCAATAAATGGGCGCATTACACGCTCTTTTAGAGCTGTTTACCTGGAGTTAGATAATATCAATATTTTTTTTTTCCTGATTTGTTTCTTAACTCTTTCAGTGCCAGGTTCATTTATGCAGTTTTTACCCAGTGCCACCAGTGACCGCAATAGAAATTTTCCATATCTTTCAGGACCCACAGAATATCTTGTGCTTGGACTAGAATTAAGTGTTCAATATCTCAAAAGGCACACCGGATTATAAAGCGCATTAAGCCAAACAAAACAGTCAGAATAGTTAAACTTTATTTAACTCATTCAATAACTCTGCGAGGCTACGGTAGCTGCAGTGCTCCGACAAGCCAAAAGGATTTGAAGTGTGCCTTATAGTGCGAAAAATACGGTAGTTGTTGCCTGCTCAATGCAGCGTGGTCATTTCATCTTTGCTGATCTGGAAAAAGAAACCTGAGAAGAACACGTTTTTACGAAGAAGAGACTTTCAAGCAGAAATCTATTTCGTTTCACTTCAAACTACTTCACCGGTGGCATCGAGGTCCTCCCTCCCCGGTCACTCTCACTCTTGTGATGGGTCACTTTGTGATGGCTGGGAGTCGTATTTGCTCTGGAGAACCTGATGCTGTGACGTAAACCACACAGACTGCTCGTGTCCTCCTCGCCGGGACTGTCGCAGAATTCTGCCCTAGTCTTGCTCACCAGTACCGACACCAGCGGCACAATGACACACCGGAAAATTGTTTTTTTGATTATCTGCTGATGATGTGAAGGTCCGGTATTGGAATCTACACTTGATTCAGATAAAGTAGCACCACGTAGCACCGTTGTAGAG